CACTCACAGGACACCTCACACTCATGGGACACACTTCACACTCAACAGGAAGCAAGGCTACTTGAGACAGAGGCTAACATGACCCTTTTCAGGTACATTGAGGATGGTCACTCCTTGCATTTGTGCACTACTTGGTTTTTCAACGCATGTCCCACAGTTCTCATCTTATTTTATTCTTAAGGTAATCCTGGGTTTCAGTTTGCTTGGCCAGAAGATTCCTCAGGAATAAATTTGTTAGAGCCCTTTGCATCCATTGCCGCCTTCTCCTGTCACACATGTGTATGGATTTCCTCCTCATCACCAGAGGCGGAAATGGAGGCTCAGAGAGCACATATGTCCTGTCCCAAGGTCACATCTTGGAGGTGGCAGAGTTGGGGCAGAAACTCAGGAATTCTGAATTTGGAGAGGGAAATTTGTGATCTCTGGTGGTCTTAGCGATCTGGGGTGGAGGGGATAGGATTAGGAAAAAACTTCCTCCCCCTGGAAAAACTCACTTCATCCCCAAAGGAAAAGTCTGGCTTCCAGAGCCCACCTCAAAGGGCCCCAGATCAGAAGCCCCCAGCCCACCACAGTTCACCCCAGCTCCCAAGTCCAGTCTGTGGACACCATACGTATTTGCTTCTGGTGAACGTGTCTCACACTGCTTCCTCTTGTTCCCTCAGAAGCGGTTCTGGATTTCTTACACTGGTGAGTTGGTAAATGGCCCATTTTCATCCCACCCACCAGCCCCTCTCCTCAGCATACTGACACTGATGCTCTCCACAGATGGGGACCAATGTGCCTCGAACCCGTGCCGGAATGGAGGCACCTGTGAGGACCAGCTCCAGTCCTACATCTGCTTCTGCCTCGACAGTTTCCAGGGCCGGAACTGTGAGACAAGTGAGGAACCCCACAGTTTGCAGACAGAGCCCCCAACAGGCTGATGGGCATGGCCTGCTCCCCCGCCAACACGAGAGTCTTGGTTCTAAGGTGCTCGTTCTCAAACTTGGTCGCCCCCTATCCACTTCTGGGAATCCTAAAACCCTTGGGTTCCCAGTGCTGGGAGCTTCAGATACACCTGGAGAGAGCCCAGTGAGGGCTCTGCATGGCTGCCCAGCTTCCAGTCGAGACAGCTAGGAAAACTGTGTCTTCCCTTCCTGCTTTACAAAAGTGTGAGGTATTTTTTCACCTTTCAAATATTAAAGTATTGCAGAGTTCAGGGGTTCCTCAGACCATCAGATATACTCAAAATTACAGCTTATTACAGTGGAAGGACACAGAATAAAGTCAGCAGAGGGACAGGTATGAGCTTCCCATTGTCCTCTCCCAGTGAAGTACCACGGACAGCCTTCCGTTCTCCAAGAACAATGTGTGACGAGACTTAGGGAGTGTCACCACCACCCCAGGAAGCACCCTGAGCCTCCTTATCCAGAGACTGTACTGGGCTCAGTCATGTAGACATGGCTGACCTTAGTCTCCAGCTCCTCCAGAGGTGGAGGTGACACTGTGTGGCCCAAGACCCCACCATGAATCACGTTGTTAGACCATCCAGTATGGGCCAAAGCCCCCAGGGAAACAACATTCTTATCAGGCAGATTAAATTAAAAGTGTCCAACTTCACCAGCCAGGGTGTGGAGGTCACTGCCTAGGAGCTCTTTGGGCGAGTTCAATCCTTTACCATACAAATGTACATTCTTATACCCAAAGTGCTTTTCTGGGTCACAACCACCTTCTGCTCTAAGCAAACCAGAGGCCAGGGAGAGGAAAGGCAAAACTAAGGGATGAGGCTTCTGTCAGTTATCTGGGGTTGGAAAGCCTCAGTGTCTTTGCCTGGCCTTTTATGCTCAGGATCCCTGGTGTGAGTCCTCCAGGACCATGGTGCTCAGCAGTCCTGGTGTGAATTCCCCAGGACCGTGATGCTCAGGATCCCTGGTGTGAGTCCCCCAGGACCGTGATGCTCAGGATCCCTGGTGTGAGTCCCCCAGGACCGTGATGCTC